AGACAGGATGACTTGTCTCAAATTGAAAGCAAAAAAGTTTTCTTGTGAACAAAATCACACCGTATTGAGTCAAAAGTTGTCTATAAGCTGAGCAATGTATCAAAAGCATCTCACCAGTATCGTAAACTTTGCTCCCAACCTCCCTTGCAGTGTCTATGGCGGGGCACGTGCGAGAGCTTTCGAGGATCACATCCTCGTCATGTTCTCTTGAAGACTGATTGGGTACTTGTGCCGGATTCACAGCTTCTCCAGATCGAGAAGAGCTTGATTGCAACGCTGGACTGACACGCAACTCGCGCAGAATCTCGACCAACTGATTGTCTTCTGACGATGACCCGAAATTGATGTCCTGGAAGGAATGTTCAAGAGCATCGACTGATGATGCAGCTTGAGCGATGTTACGTAATTCCGCTTGTTGATGAGCCTCATACGCCTCCGGGCTGAGTTCAACACCTGGTTGTGACGAGCCTTGTGCGTCTACGTAAAAGCCAGATTCGCAATCGAAAGCTTTGCATGTGCATACTTTTCGACGACGCTCTCCAATCTTCTTGTTCCCTCGAGGCATTTGTAAAAAAAATCTGACGTGGGGAAGTTGAATCCGCTTATATGTGGTTACGAAAGTGGTGAAAGGACTTTAATATTCAGAGAAGTGATAGTGATGAAGTTTTTATTGTATCATATAATGGATATATTTGAATATGTCTCGTGAAAGCTGATATTAGGAAGCAGGAACACACATCCGACACAAGAGGACAAAACGGAGTGCAACCTATTGATCATTGACTCATGAGCAAAATCCAGAGATCGAAAACCACAACTCATACAAAACATGCCGTACTAACAATAGGCGCTAACACTACAGGACTGATAGAGATACATGATACATGAATGAGACAAAACAAGATCCAGAAACCTCCCAAGAAAAGATCTACTAGATCTAGGACCGGATATATGACACTATATGACACAACCAAAAGTGTAGCCTAGTGAGTCATGAATGATAAAAACTCAAAACATGATCGTTTGAAATACTCACGATCAATTCTATGATAGTTCAAGATCATTCTTCTTTGTCTATGACAGCATAGTGAAAGCCAAGGACAGGGGTACGCTCGGGGGGAAGATTGCCTTCGATAACAAATTTGACGTAGAGATCAATGAGACATGAGGGCCTCAAAGCGATCGAGTACACAAATATGTGTGGAGCATATACTTGCAGAGCATGTCGAAGCTCTTCTACTGTCTCGCCCTTCAAGCGGTCTTCTTTCAGGACACGAGGGCGCTGACTAAACTCGGGTTTTTGAGGCAAGCGGAGATCCTTGTCAACCTTTGCTTTGAAGAGCCAAAGAAGGTGATCAATTCTGGCGATGTCGGGTATCAAGAATTTTCCCACTTTCTTCGAAATAGCGCCAACCAACATCTGTCGAGTAGTCTTGCGGCTGAGAGGATCGAAGTCCACAGTTTCGGGTACATCCGTGTCCATTGGTTCCGGTTTCACAACAGGCGGTTTGATGTACGGAATGATCAAAGGCTTGACATTATCTTGAAACGCCTTTTTCAAGACGGTTTTGTTGTGGTTGGGGCGAGATTTTGTCTTGGGGTCAAAATGATACAAGATAAGATAATATAGGATATTCTTGATCTGGTCACACTTTTCATCAAAGTCGTGATCGAGGAAAACATGCAAGTCGTCGGGTAACGAGTCGACCTTTGCTGCTATATCATCTTGCACAAATCCCCCTGCTGCAGTTGAAGGAAAGACTTTCGGAAAAGAGGGCTCTTTCAGAGACTGCGTATTCGGTTGAGCAGAATGCGGAACTTTGTCTGATGAAGTTGGATGTGCGGAGAGTGTGAGTTACAAGAAAGTTTTAGCCGAGGAGAAAGAGTGAAACAGGGGTATTATGACAAATCTCATCCAAAAAAGATCAACACACAAACTCCGAGCTCACCTTTGGTATTAATCTCGAGTTGGTTGTTCGAGGGGCTTGTGGGGCCTGAGCTTGTGCCTCCAGTGCTCTTCTTCCGTGCCTTTCCCATGTTTGATCTGGATCGTGAAACAGAAATAAGATCATCGACGTACAAACAAAGCGGAACATGTGGGTGTCCAAAACCTCAAAGAGCGTGCGAGAACGAAACTTGAGAAGGTAAAAAGGGAAGATGCCTGACCTTCAAAAACCAGGATCCTTGCGTTAGGAGATGCGGACTTGATTGAAACTCCCTATCGATACAATTGAGGAACGGGGGCAATCGTGGTGATCTTATATGTTTCACTTGTTACATTTAGCTACATGTACACAAGCACTAGCTGTTGTCAAAACGTGACAACCTCTAGTGTTGGCATCACCGTAGAACAACGATTGCCTTTCAGTCTGGCAGACGATCAAGTCCCCTTTCTGGAACATGTTCTTTGGGGAAGATGATCTGTCGCCGGCTGACAGAATCCTGAATCACTTTGACTGCAAGATGGGAAATATGTGCTGCTACACACGCTTACTACCTACATAGATTCTTGATATCTTTGTAATGCAAGTAAAATTTTGTATATGTTGCGATAAAATTTTGCTTACAATGCTTCGTAACCATTATAAGAATAAAGCAGAATATAGTTCAGAATAGAGCAACGATGATGGCTTCACCTGGAATAACGCATGTGTGCGTATAATCATTTGATGACACATGTGATCCAAGGCTTTTAGACTCAGAATCTTAAAAAGGTTCTTTCATAGCAACTCACAGGATGCAATAGCTGGATAGTGATTCTTTGTAAGGCATTTTATCTGGGCCAAGTATATAATCAAGCAACAGTTGCTCAAATGGACAAAACAAAAGGAAAAAATTAGGAGAGAACAATATTGGGCGCGCCATTACTTCTGAGAGAGCTCAAAGATTAATTATACATAGAGATTGGCTTCAAACAAAACATATAGTTGTAGTGCATGTTGTTCCCGTATCTTATGCTAATACACTTTGAAACTACAGCTACACACTTATCATTTTCTAATCTGAGACGGAACTGCCAGTACCAGAATCTTCCCCTTCTTCAACTGAAAGCAGGCCAGTAAGGACTTTGTCGTGCTCATTGATGTCATTACGAGCTGACTGCAATTCATTCTCTAGTCTTTCAACCTGCATCTCTAGAAAGTCTAAACGTGTCTGAGTAGTGACGATGATTTGTTTCATGTCTTCGAAAGATGCCACACGCTCTTTGAGGGTAGCAACTGTTGTATATCAAAAATATCATAAAGTTTGGTTAGTTTTCACTCGTATTGATTATGCTTGGGATACATTGGAATGGGTACGAGAATTACGTTGCTCTTCTTTACTTCTTTGGATTTGAAAGTAGTCTGTTCCCGAGAGTACTGGTAGCTCTGAATTTGGCTCGATAGAGGGTTTGAAAGGAATGGGATCAATGTTCCTTCCCAATACTGAAAGTGCAAAAGATCCAGCGTGAGTAGACATTACTTATGGGAGCAAACAAGAAGAGAGATTGGTAGACGTACTGGTATTTTCACTTTCAAATATATCTAACTCGGGAAATTCCATCAAGTCCATTTCATAGCGATGAGTACTTGAAGTGTCTGGCTTGCCCTCTTCTGACCCAAGAGAAATCAGTTGTTCTTCCAAACCCTCGTTATTATCTTCCACACGATTACTTGACGGGTTCAAAGCAGGAAGAACCAGAGGCTCCTGAAGCACACTTAACTCTCTGGTATGTTCGCACTGATCCTGTACCTCCAGTAGAGAGGTGGCTTTCACTCCAGGAGTTGATTTCGAAATGCCTTTACCTGTAGACTTTGGTATACTGTTACTGGTCGGGTGGTCTGGAATTTGCTGTTCCATTGACTGTAATTAGAACAAGGCTTCAGTACTCACATTGCAGTATGATTACACTTGTCGAAGTGATTAAAGATGATGATTGTACCCATGTCCAAGCTCATGGGAACTCACCTTTTTTTTCTTTTTCTTCATCATGGTAGAACCACTGTGATCATCAGAAGACACTCGCTTTGCTTTTCGAGCAGGCCCCATATCCGCAAGATTTGGTTTGACGTCATGTAGGAGGTAACATGTGGAGATCGGCGGATCGAAAGAAACACGCTTTGCTTTACGAGGAGGAGCGATTGTGGCGATTGATGTCAAGTCTTGTGAGTTCCGACCACTCGTGGAAGGTGAAGGCATAGGATCTGGAAACAATGAATCAAACTTTTTGTTCCGGGCTTTTTATCTTATTATCACAAGGGTGAGATGGATGCAAAGGGAAATGATCACGTACTATGAGACTCCATGCTGCCAAACACCTTTTGATCACCTGATTCCTGTTGTTGGTGCGGCAATTCATTCGAGTCCAGGGCTGGATCGTCGGTATCAGGATTTGGGAAGACTGGTCAAAATGAAATAAAATACAAGTTGAGATCTAATCGTAATCAGATGCTGTTTGTGAGAGACAGAAAAACAAACGATGCGGCTGCGCCTTTCGCACTTTGGTGGCAAGCTGTGCTTGAGTTATTTTGGAGTGAAGGGTCGTTGTCTTGTCACGTTTGTAAAGCCACTGAGCCATGTCGTGCTTGCTAACACCTGGGTCGCTGGGGTCCAAAACCGTAGACATATTCGCTAAAAGAGCAGTGCGTTGACACGGAGTGGCTTGAAGATGGGACTATATAGACAATACCATAAGGAGGATGATCAAGTGTGAGATTAATGATCAAGCCGAGCGGCATAAGGACGTTCCACTTCATGAGCGGGCCTCGCGGTTTCAATGCTGACTAGAATTCTACATAAGTAGATGAACAATATACTGTATAAATATACGCAACAAGTTGCTAATCTATCAGAGATTCACTTCCTTGTAATCAGCATATATTAACACGCAATACATATTCCAATCGGATGTTCGATATCGTGAGGCACGTTGCACAAGCCATGTTTTACTTCTCAATCACAGAGAGACAGAAAAGAAACATGTACATAAATTATTTATCTTGTAGAGCTTCTTGTGGGAAGCGTAGCCACAACGTTGATTACAGAACACTAGAGACAATGTCAATCATATATTAGATGATAGTGAGCGTTGAAAAAGAGGAGAACATAAGCAAAGGAAATGAACCAAAATTGATGCATGAAGTCATGTGATCAATATTCTAGAAAGAAATAATCAGGCTACAATTTGAATGCATGAGAAGACAAATCAACAAATGACAGCATTACACACAATCTGTATTATAAAAAGGTTATGATCATGAGGTAGGTGCTCTTGATGCCTAATGAATCCTTATTACTTCTGAACAGTAGAAAAACAGAATATGTAGATGATACAGTTTTCTATGTCAGTCACAATTTTCTAAACTGTACGGAAAAGACGCCCTTTGGTGTAGTGTCAATCCAAGATAAAACACAAAGCTTGCTCATTCCGTGTCACCCAATAGATTGGCTTGTCACAGTGACCCGCATACCCAAGAGGCCATTTATAAAATCAAGGAAAAAGTTCTGAATGCAGATCTCCATTTCCTTCCCTTTTACCTCACTCAAATTTTACCTGCACAAGTACCACTGCAGAGATTTTTACTGAACAAAAAGGCAGACTATATATTCATGCAAATCACACAAGTTTTGTAGGTGATCTGGACCTATTCCACCATCTGCTGTTTACAGTTTCAAATCTCCCTCTGGATTATACATGACTGACTTGCCATCGAAAAGTCAGACAATGACTTCCTATGAAACAAGTCCAGATGGATTAGATTTGAAGTATGTGATGGGCACCAAATTGATTTCTTGTGAGACTTCTGGATCAGCAGGATCAGATGTTAGGATTGTGACAGCCGCAAGTGGGGCACATAAGCTCACTACCTCACCAGAATTTTCACACTTTATGTTCAAACTACAAGTCAGATTGTCAAGACTCAAAAAAATGAGGGAAAAAAATGGTAAGAATTGAAGTGGTAAACCTTACAATGTTTTACAATGTAATAGTCGGTAAATTTCTTGATTCACTTGGTGTTTTTGTAAGAAAATGATTCTTGAAAGCTTTCAAGACTTATAATGGAAGTTGTGACCATTGAAAATTGAACTAGAATCATTGTTGGGTACTTTTTTTGTTTGATAATTTGAGCACTGAGATATCAAAAGTTCTCAACACTGTTAGTAAATGTCTCAAAGGAACGACTTGGATATTAAACAACCTTTAGTTACCTTTTGTAATTATATACAATATATTTGACTTGACAAGCGGGATGCAATGGGGCCATGTCTGGGGTGTGGGGGAGGCCGGGGTAATCAGAAAACTATCCCGTGGACTCTCCTATATTACGTATGTACACTTTTGATTTTTTTTCAAATCAACCTAATTTGTTCAATATATTAATTGATTTAATTTATGTAGTTTCAATTTTATATATATACTCTATTTGTGTATTGTTTTTTTGGTATCTATTTCATTAAGTCATATGTTTTTTTTTGTGTTTTTTTCTATTTTTTTTCTATTTTTTTTGTTTTTATATTTTGTATTCATTCATTTATTATTTATTCTTCTTTTTTTTTGTATTTCTTTTGTATGTATTTTGTATGTATTTATTTTTTATTTATTTTTTATTTATTCTTTATTTAGAGTTATTTTGTTATATGTTGGACATCAAGAGAAAATGAAAAAGTTCAAATTCAGTTTTTAACTGGATTTAAACACAAAAACTACTGTATTGTCTGGTTTTCAGTGGTGATTTTTGAAGTTTAATTTGCTTCAAGGTAGTAAATAACTTTGTTATTTTTTCTTGAGTCCAACATATAATGAAACAGTAGTATATTTTTTATTTTTTTATGTTTATTTTTATTTTTTTATGTTTATTTTTATTTTTTTATTGGTGAAGTGATTTGTAGGAAGTGTTGTGTGGAATTATGGAAAAAGTAAAATTTATGAGCTAGAACTATGCAAACTTGGAGAGGAAGTGCTGTGATATTGCCTAAACCTATTCAAGTATCTAGCAACTGAACAAGCCCAGAAACCACTAGCTGCTAAACCTAGCTACCGGACCGTGGCCCCGAGGCCTTGGGGCGCCGTCCGCCCGTCCGCTTAGTAGGGGAGAGCGGACGGGTTTTTCTACCCAGAGCCCTAGCCCCCAATTTGGCCGTCCGCTGGCCTTTTTCTAGGGCATTTCCCTGGTTGGAAGAGGTATAGGTAGCCTCTGGTTACCTTCCATGACACATCAAAGGTGACCAAAGGTTACCTTTCCACAACTTTTATTACATTCACAAGGAGGTAGCCACTGGCCACCTTTTTGCATGTCAACTACATGTGTTGAGTACAAAAAGGTAACCTGTAGTTACCTTTTTGTACATGTCAACTACATGTGCTGAATACAAACAGGTAACCTGTAGTTACCTTTTTGTACATGTCAACTACATGTGCTGAATACCAACAGGTAACCTGTAGTTGACTTTTTGTACATGTCAACTACATGTGTTGTAGACAAAAGTAACCTGTAGTTACCATTTGATATATTTAACATGTGTAGTTGAATGGAAAAGGTAGCCTGTAGTTACCTTTTTGCATATGTACACTACCACAATGTATTCAATGATAGGTAACCCCAGGCCACCTTTTGGATTACTATATTACAGGTGTTGAAATACAAATTACATGTGTACAATGAAAAAGGTAGCCACAAGCTACCTGTTCACCCTACATTTATTACATGTGTAGAATACAAAAGGTAGCCACCAGCTACCTACTAGATTACATCTGCCAAGTGGCAAACATTACATATAGATTTCATATATCAAAGGGCAAAAGGTAGCCACAAGCCACCTTTTGCTTTTACATACAACATGTACTGATTGCAAAAGGTGGCCACAAGCTACCTATACAAGTACCAAGTGGCCAAAATTACATATTACAAAGCGCCAAAGGTAGCCACAGGCTACCTTTTTACCCTACATTTATTACATGTGTAGATTACAAAAGGTATCCACAAGCTACCTTTACAACTAGGATATTACACCAGCCAAGTGTCAAAAATTACATATAAATTACATATAATCAAAGGCCCAAAGGTAGCCACAAGCTACCTTTTTGCCTGACATTACATGTGTAAACATGTGTCCCAAACCCGCCCAAACCCTACTGGATTGAAGGCTTTTATACTTATGTTGAGGGCAGGCCGGACCGCCTGTATGAAGGGCCAGCTTGTGGGTACAGCTAGCCTACGTTGATCTGCGCAACCCTACGCGGTGTGCAGGCCATACAACATGTCCATCATGGGACAAAGACCCTAGCTATGGGACGGAGTCCCGTAGCCCTCCGTGACAGTACGCTCCGTACGCTTTTTGGCCCAGGAGCGTACGGGTCCGTTGCCCGAGCCCTGAGCCCCTAAAATCCGTACGCTCCCTGCGCAAATTCTCGCCCTGGGCAAGAATTTGCGCAAAAACCTTCAGTTAGACTACACAGGAAGCCCCTTCCGTGCAAATTCTCGCCTGTGGCGAGATTTTGCGCAACAGTATGAAACATACACATGCAATGTAAATCAAGTAATCAAGACATGCACACGGCGTGTGTAACCTGATGTTGGCGTGGGCGGATCTGTCGCATCAAGCCATGCAAATAGTGATTAACCTTTACATGCAGCCATTAATACATGAAGACATTTGTTACATGTGTGAATTGACAAGGACCCACGGTACATACCACGAACACATGTATGCTAAGTAAGACTATGATATACCTAATATAATGTGAATGACCAATGTCACACGTGTGAAATATGCGCAAAATCTGTGTGTTACATGATTAAATCAGATATTGCATGTGGTCAAAACAATGAGCAGGCCACGTCACAACTGTGATACAGACTCAATGAGCAAATACATGTGCGAAGCAAATGACACGTGTCAAACTGTGTGACGTACATGTCAAATACGCGTTACACATCAAACACCATGAGCTGACATAAAATACTGGCCACATTGAGCGTGCAGTATCAATCTTGCGCGTGAACACAGGTGGAACACACAGGACACGTGTTAATAGCGGAACCATTGACTCCACGTAAATGAACGCCCAGTGTATAAATCACACAACTACATCCAAGTGGAACACCATGATAACACGTGAAAGTGCGACAAACGCGCGTGTATTTTGCGTGCAATGTCAATGATACAGACATATCACACACAGATCATATGGCACGTGTGTCACCCACGCGTAAGCACGCACACACATTCAGACCCCAGCAAATTGTGACATCACAAAGACTAGTAACACGTGATACCAGCGTTGTAAACACAAATTCACACACATAGAGACGCAAAAACATGCGTCAACACACATACACACATCTTGCCCAGGTTTAAACATACATAGACACCTGTTGATCATACGTAATGTCGCATACTCACATGTCAAACAAGCACAATGACGCATAATCACGTATAAACACACACAAAAACGCAGGAACACCCCATATACGACATAACAAAGGCCTGCAGAGTGCATTGACACACAGCAACACGCATATACAGGTGTCACACACGCAGAAGTAGGCATACACATGTGCCAAGCACACACAGACACGCATAGACACGCGTCAAACACCCGCAAACGCGTATAGACACGTGCCAAACACAAACAAACACGCATTGACACGTGTGCCACATACGTAAACACGCATAGACACGTCTAACACACGCAGAAACAGGCATATACATGTGCCAAGCACACACAGAAATGTACAGATTCGTGTCAATCACACGCAAACACGCTTTGACACGTGTGACACATATGTAAACACGCAGGCACACGTGTCAAACACGCAGAAACAGGCAGGCACACGCAAGCACTCATATACACGTGCCCTACACGCGCAAGGACGCATAGACATGTGCAAAACACACACGAATGGGCATAGACACGTGATACACACATGTGAACACGAGTAGACACGTCTCACACACGTGGAAACATTAATTTGTGACTGCCATGCATACCCAAAAGCACATAGACACGTGATACACACACGTAAACACGCCTAGACACGTCACACACATGTGGGAATCACTGCAGACATTATTTGGGTTCCCCAAGTGGGCAGGGAAAAATGATTGGGAGTATGATTTGTCATAAAATGGTCTATCACTCCACACCTGAGCCATAACACCCACACTACATATGTGTAGCAGGCTCAGTGAATATGTGGTTATCATGTACATACAGTTCTGCTCAGTTATCTGCTCATCAGGACAAGTTATTCATATGTAATACATGCTGTAACTTCTTTCAGATTGAAAAAAGCTTCCAAAAGATTGACTACATACACTGACTCAATGTTTTGGTGTGATCTCATCAACTCAACTGCATGTAACACACTTTCTGTTACTAAGACATAGCTTCAACAATATTGCCTGAGCAGCTACAGAATTATATGTAGTGAATTTTTGGGAAAAAAATTTCAAAGTCGAAAAAGTTACATGTGGTATAACATGTGATTTATTTATTCTGATGGGCAAAAAACTGAGCAGACCTGTATGTACATGATAGACAACTATTGACTTAGCTTGCTGCACATATGTAGTGTGGGTGAAATGGCCCAGGTGTGCAGTATTAGATTCTTTTATGAAAAACTGTACTATTAATCATTTTCCTCTGCCAAATTGGGGAAGTTGAATGATGTTTACAGTGGAATAGTACTCTGCGTCTCCCAAGCACACGCAAACGCGCATAGACACGTGTTACCCATGCTTAAACATGCAGATACACGTGTGTACAATGCCTCATGACACATGGCCACATGTCGAAGACGCGTAAACACTTAGACACAACCACCACTACTCTCACGTGCGGAGTATCCATGAAAGCAGAATCCACTTAGTGCTGCACCATCCTGATGATATTGACCCACATGTTGTGTTTCATATGGCCCTGTGGCACAGTGGTTAAGGTGAGGCACTTCTGACCTGGGAGGTCAGGACCACAGTTTCGAATCCCATTGGAGGTCTTTTTGCCCATGTAGGTGTGGCAATACAGGCTACACATGTAAACCACATTACATGTACAAACCTAAAGCCCGCAGCAAATTTGTCAGTCATGTCAGTCAAACCTAACATGATGAGAAGGACAGAGTATAAAGTCTGGTCCTTCTTGGATTTTGAAGAAATCCTCCATCTGATTCCTTCCTCATCAGTCCAAAGTCGAAAAAACCCATCTTCAGAGTTCAGAACCCGGTCCAAATACCCGACCCGAATACCCGACCCGATTTTCGGTACTTTAAAACAACATTAACAAAATGACCAAGGTAAAAACCAATCCATCACATTTCTCTACCTCGACCGATCTCTTCTACATCATGTGCACATCATTTTTACCCCTCATCAATTCAATTCAATACCCTCTTCCTACACGCACCATCCGTTCAAATTCTCGCTGAAGGCGAGAACTTGAACGGAGTCAATTGCTCACATCTAACGTAGTGTGATGTTAGATTGTGTGATCAGCCATGTGTGATCATCTCGAACAAATGATTAGCTCCTCATCCATTTCACTCGAATATCTAATGGATAACAAGCCACCCCGTTCAGATTCTTGCTGAAGGCGAGAATTTGAACGGGGCGGCTTGTTATTTCATAACCAACTCTCTGGTTAGACAGTGCGATAAACCATACGTGATCAATGCAATCGAATGAACCGCACTTGTTCAGATTCTCGCTTGAAGCGAGAATCTGAACAAGACCGCAACATTAAGACACACTATGAATACGGCAGGAGCCTGCAGTTTCAAACACTGTGCAAATTCTCGCTTCAAGCGAGAATTTGCACAGAACCACGCTTACAAGCCAACCCTACTCTATTCCAATACAAATAAATAAAAGCGAAGTTATATCAGAATGGAGCGCTGACTGTTTTCTATTTGTTTGCAACAGCAAGCATCTCAAACCGGCAAAACCAACCAGCACCGTGCGGCATTACAAAACCCACGTCAACCTACGGTACCTGACTTTGGAAACATACGCCAACCTAAGTACGGAAATCATCAAAACCTTGGTTCTTTAACGTCAGATGTTGTAAGTTATGATCAATGACTATATGTGTCTTTTGTAATGAGCTGACGTTGGATATGTTATGACTGTTGTGTAGAATCACAACAACACCACTGCCGAAGTTGGTGGGGATACAAGCATGGTATGTAAGGCATCAAGTCGAGGTTATGAGTATGTGTATTAACTTTCATGCCATCCAGGAACAAACGGAACCCGGCGATGTACCTGAGACACCCACTCCACAGGCTAGAAAGGTAAACAAATTAAATTTGTGACCAATCGTTTGACCAGCCCCACTGACAATGCCCTTTGCACAGAATCGCATAGACCCGCAACTCGGCGCGGCCAGTGAAGAATGCTCTAAGGCAGACAAGGTCAGTTCCTAATCATATAACGAGTATGAACATGGCTCATTATACTTACAGATGAATTCAATTGACAGACAACTGAAGCACCAACTCAGACTCTGAGTTTGGGTGTAATCCACCCTGCTGAGATAGAGGTGAGCTTGATAACATCACCAATCAAAGATGAGTTGGTCAGTTTATATGTTTGTTTGATGTAGGAAACCCTGGATGCGACAGACGCACCAATCCACACGTCTGCCCAACCCGCGGACAAACCCTCTACTGCTGAAAGCAGTACCCCTGCCGAGAAGCCTGTGGCAGAAGTGAGTTACTTTGATTATATTGTGATGGGGAGCATTAGAACTAACTCAATAAATCCAGGCAACCATTAGCGCGACGCAGAAGATGCGTCAAGTCAAGATTAAGAAAGCCAGGGCAGAGTATGAAGCAGGTAGGTAGCAATTGTTGCATGATAATAATTTCAGAGAGTTACTTACATCTATTTACTCAACATAGTTAAAGTGCTGTACCAGACCACCCTGGAACGGGTAACCGGTTTGGAGAAGGAAGCTCAGGATGGAGCTATCGACAAGGCCTTGATGTTAACAAAGGCATTTCTCGCTGAATTGGAAGTCACAATGCGTGAGGACGAAGCTGCTTACCTGGCTGCTCTATCCGGTAACCACCCCAATGTCATCTTTGTCCCCAGCAATCCAGCACCGCCTGTGGGGATTAATCGATCTCTCCGCCCGAGACCTATCCCTGTGGCTAAGAAGCGTAAAGGGCCTAGCAATGAAGATGGTAAGTGTTTGATTCAACTTGGAGAGTGAAATAACAGAAACTGACTTACAAATTATTCAACAGGTTCCTCAAAGCGAGGCAAGGTAGCAGATGTCTCTACCTTCTTCGACTTAGAGGCTAAGGTATCCAATAAGGAACCTACAAGCGAGATCTTGGGCAAGGGGAAAGGACCAAAGACCCGTGTGAAGAGCCGAGCTTTCGTTACACAAGAGGACGACGATTGGGCACACGGAGAGCAGTACCCAAATCAGCAGGTTGAGATGAAGGATGTAGTTGAGGAGAAGAAGAAGGTTGAGAAGAAAAAGGAGAAGAAAGTTGAAGAAAAGGAAGAAGATAAGAATGAAACTTTACCTGTTGACGCAAAGAGTATTTTTCAGGTTGAGAAGCCAGATCTCAGTGGTGAGCATCTCCATATATCTATTTTATTTCATTCTCCTCA